ATTGCTTAAAAAGAAATATATGAATTAATTATTATTACGTAGTTATTGTAATTGAATGGTTTTCTTCTAATGATCACCTAATGTTAAATTTTTTTAATAAATCTCCAAATCTAAAATTATTCTTAAATAAAATTGTCAATTCTATAAGTTCTCTTAAATATGTCACTTCCAACTTGAAAGTTTTTAACTTAACTCTAGATTAACTAAGATGTATTAATCTTGCTAGCTTTTTCCAGATACTTGCAATATATTACAATACTTACTTCTAATTATAATTATTTAATAGGGTAAATTACACTAAACTGTTATGAACTTTCAGCCTATATGAACTTTCGAAATTACACAAAATCTCTAATGACTTTTCTGTTTCAAAGAAGATCCCTAATAACTTTTTGAATTTTGCAAATAACCCCTATAAATTAGAACCAGAAAATGGCATAAAAAAGCATTTTGAAAGTTATTGGGGGTTAGATGTAATTTAACTAAAAGACATTGGGGACTTTCTACAAAAGTTATTATGGGTTTAGTGTGATTTTGAAAGTTCGTAGGGTCTATTTACTACAAAATGTTGAAAGTTCATGGGTTTTACTATAATTTACCTTATTTAATATTAAAATTCTTAGTTCAAGTAATACTATTAAAATAATTATACTGTCTATATATTATAAAATATTTATCTAATTTACTTTTTTAACTATGCTCTCAAGTAATTTAGTACTATAAATATTTTATAAATTTTTATTATACTATAATTAATAATTAATAGTATTATTTTAATATTAAATATTTTTTTTTGTAGAAATTATAGTTTTCAATCTGTACTAAGTATAGATTATTGAGTATCATGTAATAATCTTTGAGAAAATACTCTAAAAATAATATTAAAATTATTAATTTAATTTATTTAGTAATATAATACTAAATAAATAGTGTAATTCATAATTTATGTGATATTATTAAAATAATTATACTATTTATGTGATTCAAAATTTATTCTATTTATTTTATTGCTCATTGAATTATAATATATTTCTTAATAGAAATTTAGTAATATATTACTCTATTCATACTATTATTTTAATTATTTTATTATAATTCATAATAAATATTATAATAATTTAATTAGTTACTAACTAATAATTGTGTATACTTATTTTATTTTATTATTTTTAAATAATTAATACTTTATAATATTATTGATAATTATAATTATTAAGGTGAGGAGATGTTTAATTAATAATAGGTTATATTTAATGAAAGATTAATTAAAGATAATGGTATAGTTAGAATTTATCAAAATTTGAGAGGGAAAAAATTAAAAGTTTTAACACCCCAACCCTCTTTTTATAGTAGTATAGGTATAGATGGAAAAACAATCAAGTATTTCTATACACTAACTAATTAATCAGCAATTCACAACTTAATAAACTAACTTATTGTCCTAATCTCAAGCAAAAAAGTTAGCATATGATAATATATTTAAACAAAAACTAACTTGCTAAGGATGTTTCCTCCATTTCCATGGTGTTTTTGTCAAAATAAAAACATCATGTGTTTGGAAACCATAGAGTTTTTATGGTAAAGAAACACCCAAAAATAAAAAACATCACACTTATTTGAAAATACCCTTTTATGTGTTTTGAGATTGACATGACATTTTGAGTTTGGGTAAGATGTTAGTATAGTAGCTAAATATAATCTACAACATTATAAATAATAATTTGTTAACAATATAATGCTCAATATATTATATATTTTGTATTATAATATTATATAAATAAAAATATAGTATATTAAATTATATTAAATATAATATAATATAATATATTATATTAAATCAAATTTGAATAATACAATAAAATTAATATTATGTTAAAGTTAAATATTATATTAAATTATTAAATATATTAAATTAAATTACGGAATATACGTTATAACATAATATTTATTATTACAATATAAAAATAATATAATTTAATATAATAATGTAAATGATTATTTATATACAATATAATGCTCGATCTATTATATATTATTATATTGAAGAAGTATTAATATAATATATTTTTAACTCAATATTAATATAATATATTAAATTATATTAAATATATTGTATTTTATTATAAATAATATTTTAATGTTATACTGTTTTAATATGTTTAATACTAAATTATGTTAGATATAATATATTATATTATGAATAATATTTTAGTTTTATCTTATTTTAAAATATGTTTTATATATTACTATAATATATTCAAATATGTTTAATATATCAATTTAATATATTACATTAATATGTTATATCATATTGATGAAAAATATAATATAATATAAAAATTCATAACATAAAATAAAATTTATATTAGATTACTATATATTATATTAAAATAATATAATATAATAAAATAACTATTATATCAAAGTTAAATATCATAGTAAATTATGAAATATAGTTAAAATATAAAAATATTAAACAATAAATAATTTTCTATTTTATTTAATATAACATATTATATTAGTATGTTTTATATTAAATTAATATAATATAATAAAAGTGTTAAAGTATAATAAAATCAATTTATTATATTATATTATTAAACTAAAGTATGACATATATTGATGTAATAAAATATAATCTATATTATGTATATAATATACTATTGATGGCTGATATCAAATAGTCACTAAGAGAAAATATTAAGTTGACGGAGGTCCTCTAACCCTCCAAATGTCCGGTTCTGGAGTAGGATGTTCTTCCCTGCACAAGTAGAAAATCGTAAGAGTGCGAGATTAGGTTCCCTGGTTGTTCCTCCTATGATCAAGTCAGTGATTTGCTTGAGTGGAGAAGTAAGTGAATTGTGGAAGTTCTTAAGCATAGTGGGTAGAGAAAAATATCTTACATTATTATTAAAAATAGTACCCCTATTTATAATGGTGGTAGAGGAGTAGGATGGTAATTTTGACCGAGTATATGAGAGTATTAGGGCAGAGGAATGGTAGCGTCCATAATGCACTTAATAACATTTATTGCGAGGTGTCGAATGGCAGGTCGAGTAGGTCGATCAAGGAGTCGACCTAGCTAGGGGTCGACATGTAACGCCATTTTGAAAGATGTCCTTCTGCTGCCTAAGAGTCATGCTGATTTAGGAGATCACATTCCTTTTGCTCAGTGTCTCCAGACTAGGCCTCTCCTCATTTAGTTCTTTCGTTACGCTGAGAAGAAAGAGAAAGAAGCTCTCGCTCCCAGGAAGAATCAAACTGAGAAAGGCAAAAAAAAAGAAGGAGCTTTGCTCGGTTGGCGGGAGAGAATTGGCTACTTTCTTCTTGTTCGATCCGTGTAGTCTAGGTCAGTAGATTCAGGATCTAAAGGGTCACCGTTCACCGGGGCTTCGGTCGCCGGCTCCCCTGTCATCAGGTCACCAACTTCCTTGACCTTCCGGCACTGGGCAGGATCTTGATATATTTTGAAGAAATGTACTTAGCAAAAGGTGCAGTTGTAATAAACTCGTTCTATCTCGGAATATCCATTCATTCGATACTTCCATACTCCAGTTTAAAGAGGGCTAATGGGAATACACATTGAATACTGAGATTACGCATTGAATTTTCGGTAGTAGATTCATCCTGGTCTCGGAAGAGACGAACCATTACAGGCCATTCGTAGAAGTGGTATACTATTAAGTTTTGTACGTGATGTACCCAATTCTTGCAATTGCTCTGGTTACCCTCTTTTAGCTTCTAGGCCTATTTCTTAAAAAAATACCCCCAATACCCATCGGGCCATTCCGGCCCGATGGGTATTAGGGGTATTTTGACAACTGATCAATTCTTACAACTGGAAGGATAGAGATCGTTGGCGGCAACCTTGGCATCCTTCTGGAATCTTCTACGTTAAATCATTTACAAATTTACCTTGATGCCTAAGCAGAGGGGATCAAACTCGAACTGGGAATCACGCTTGTCATCGCCGGGAGATGTCAACTTGTCGAGTCGTCCGAGCTAGGTCTTGGGTTATTTTGAAGTACTAGCTCAATTACGCATAATGTGTGACACTTGTCTGTTCTTGGTTAGAGATTACTTTACAGCACTAAAATGACTATAACGTATACAAAATATATATTATACTATTAAAAATAATATAATAAACATAATATAATGTAATAAATAATATATTAATTAATATAATATATCTGATATTAGTCTATATTATAACATATAATTAATATAATATAGTATATTAGTTAAAATAAAATATGTTATAATATATATGTTATATTTCATATATGATATTATTATAATATAATATATGTGTATGGAAATGGTCAAACAGAGTATTGAACCAGAGCTCAAAATGGTGTTTTCAAAACACTTTGAGAAAACACACAATGACATGGTATTTCTTTAGAAAAGCACAAAAAAAACTCACTTTGGTATCCAAACGCACCTTAGCTATCAGTTTTAAAATTGACGCATAGTTTGTTCAATAATTTTTTTTCTTTGCATTTTTTCAGATACATAAAATGGAAAATCCTGAATTTCAATCCAACAATGGTGTAAAAGAACGGTGCATTCATGAGGACATAGAAGGAGGTGAGTATTGTAGGCTTTGAAACAGGATCGGCCCAAGTACAAAACCTGTAAGCTATATGCAAACCTGTAAACAAAGAGAGTTTGACTGATTTTGAGAGAACGAACAGCAAGACAGAGGATGTTCTCAGGGATCCTTTTCTATATATTTGCTTCTCTGCTTTTTTTTTTAATACAAGCAATGAAGGAGCAGGAACTTCTCAATTAATTTTTTATTCACGTTCTAAATCTCATAAAGATTGTTTACATATATATAAAGATTCATAGGGATGAGATTACAACTTGAATCTTCATCCAATAACTAGAAAAACTATCCACTAACTAGTATTCTACTATAACTAGAAATCTATCTAATAACTTGGACTTCAACTAACTAGTTCGGCCTGATTAACAATCTCACATTCTCCCCCTTAATCTAGACGAGACTCTAAGTCCCTTACTCCTAGCAGCTCCCGCATCTCGATGAACTTCACCCTTGCTAGTGCCTTCGTGAGAATATCTGCTCGCTGCTCGCTCGTGCTTACGAACTCCACTTTAATCTGTCCTCGCTCAACACACTCACGAATGAAGTGAAAGCGTGTGTCAATATGCTTGCTTCTTCCATGGAAAACCGGATTCTTCATCAAGGCAATCGCGGACTTGTTGTCGATGAAGAGTGTAACCGGCTTGGGCTCACTCCCAATCACCTCGCTAATTAAACTCCTCAGCCACAGGACTTGGCATGCTGCTGCAGTTGCTGCCATAAATTCTGCCTCGCAGGATGATAATGACATCGTCTTCTGCTTCTGTGATGTCCAAGTGACCATGCTGTCACCTAGATAGAATGTCATGCCGCCTGTGCTGCGCCTTTCATCAACGTCTCCCGCAAGATCACTGTTAGTGAATCCCACCAACTCTTCATTACCTCGATCTCGTTTGTACACCAATCCGTAGGACACAATACCCTTCACGTACCTCAGAATATGCTTGACAGCCTGTCGATGCAAAACTGTAGGGTGCTCCATGTACCTACTCACAATCCCCACGACATATGTGATATCGGGTCGGGTGTGAGTTAGGTACCTTAAACATCCGATGATGTGTCTATACTCTGTCACGTCCACCGGTGTTCCTTCAGAATCCTTTCCAAGTTTTAGCTTTGCTTCCATGGGATATTGGATCGGGTTGCAATCCATCATGCCGAACTGACCCAAAACTTTCTTCGCATAGGGCGCCTGCCTTAGCGCAATGAAATCATCTCGTTGATCCACCTCAATACCAAGATAATAGGAAAGTAACCCAAGGTCACTCATCTCGAACTCCTTCATCATCTGTTGCTTGAAGAACTTGATCTCATCCGCTCTCGAGCCCGTAACGATCAAGTTATCCACGTACACGCCAACAATGAGTATATCCCCTCTGTTACTCCTGGTGTATACCGCCTGCTCCTGAGTACATCTTGCAAATCTGATGCCCTTCATGCATTTGTCGAGGTGCATGTTCCATGCCCGAGGTGCTTGGCGTAAACCGTAGAGTGCCTTTGAAAGTTTGTAGACATTTGTAGGCATAAAAAATTGCCTATAGGTTCTCGCATATAGCTCGAGATAAAAAAAAGACGATGAATGTTACTATCCGAGTCAAGGAGGATTATCTGAGTCAAAGAAGATCATCTGATATTGTAGAGAAGCTAAAAAGCACACGAAATAAGTCGGCGAAGCGTACGAGTCTGTGAAACATGCTAAACGATAAAGGAACAACTCAACCAGGAGTTATGCTTTATCCACAAAAGGATGAAGTACCATGTGTGTCTCATCTACTCTATGAGTGTTTTTCCTATGGAAAGTTGTAGATCTCTTCATCAGCTTTCCAACGCATCTTGGATCATCTCATTCCGAGATCGGACGAGAGAGTTAGAGCCAAAATACCCGAGACAACACAAACTGTCTCGGAAGTGCGAGACAGTCTTCACTGTCTCGGAATGCGAGACAGTCATGACTATCTCGTACCAAATCTGAAGAAGGTCAAAAGACAAAAGTTGTAGATCTCTTCGTCAGCTTTCCAACGCATCTTGGATCATCTCATTCTGAGATCGTACGAGAGAGTTAGAGCTAAAATACCCGAGACAACACAAACTGTTTCGGAAGTGCGAGACAGACTTCACTGTTTCGGGAAGTGCGAGACAACATCTTGGATCGTTTTTTGACGGTTTTTTAGCTTCATAACTACTTGAGATCAACCATAAACGTGGGGAGATGGTTACAAACTGAAAGGAGACCCACTAACATCATAAAAGGATGGTATTTAGGTAGTGGGACGATGGTTACAAAAGGGGACTGATTAGAGAGCATCCAAGGGGGCTGATTAGAGAGCATCCGATCGAGCATTTGATTGAACAATTCAGAGCAGAGAGAGCATACAAAACAGTTCTTGGTGTGATTCCTTGAGATTCGAGCTTTGACTTGATCTTAAGAAGAACGATCATCTTACTTTGATAAGATCTTCGTTTCAAATTCTCACTTCGATAAACGAAGGAAGAATCATTAAGCCCCCTTCACGATCTGTGATTCGGCGGTCCACGAGTCAAAGCACTCCCGGCACAGGCAAAGTCCCACAAAACAAGAATCGATAGACGATTTTTGTGTTATTTTCTCAAGAGTTATAATTTTTATTTTGTTGTGTAAAAAAAGTCTTATAAAAAGACTATTTTTTTTGAATTTGTTGTAATCGACCGAAGATATAATGAATTCCATAACAAAACCAACTTTTGGTGAAAACAACCTTGTGTTCTTGATTCTTTACAACGAACCCATCAGGTTGAAGCACATACACTTCTTCTTGGAGATCATCATTTAGGAATACCGACTTCACATCCAGATGGTGCACCTCTCACCCGTTCTGTGCTGATATAGCGAGGATTATTCTGATGGTATCAAGTCTCGCCACAGGTGCAAACACCTCATCGAAGTCCACGCCATGCTGCTGAACGTAGCCTTTTGCTACAAGTCTTGCCTTGTGCTTGAGAATGTTGTCTTCATTGTCCTTCTTCAGCTTGTACACCCATTTGAGACCAATGGATTTGGAACCACACGGTAACTCCGTGAGTACCCAAGTCTTATTCTTCTCGATGGCCTCCAAATCCTTCTCCATGGCTGTCCGCCATTCTTGATCTGTTGCAGCCTCAAGATAGCTCGTGAGTTCTTCAGTGATCAGAAACAATTCCTCTGCAGGGAGATCAATCACCTCCGTCTCTGCATAGATATCCGCTTGGGACCGGTAGCGCATAGGTTCATCTGGAGTCATCACTACAGCTTCAGGGGGTCCGGTCAACTCCAATGCAATGGGGCTTGCTGCCTTAGCAGCTGATCCTAGACCAGCAACTGTTTGCAGACTGGTTCGGCCTGCAGGTGGCTGCCTTGTTCGGTCTGTCGACTGTCCAGATTTACCTCTGGTCATCTCCAATGCAGCAGGAACTGCTGCTTCAGCGGCTGTTCTTGGACCAGCAACCAACTGCGACGCTTGGTTTGGGTAGTCGCTGGCAGTCATTAGTTTTTTTGTTTTTGTCGTTCTTCGTGGCCAGCAGGCTGTCCAGCCTAACTGGCGCTGACTGCGTTCGGCCAGCAGCGGGAGATGGGCTTAGGGGTGGGATTGGACAATTGCACCGCCTATAGTGCCGACTGCTATTGATTCCCCTTCCGCTGTGAACTCCACCCAGCTGGGTGGTCCTACATCTCCATCTGCGCTCCATTGCCATTCTTTTCCTTCCTCGAACGCGACATCCCTGCTAACCTGAATTTTGCCGTGTTGAGGGTCATAAAGGCGATGCGCTTTGCTTCCATCCTCTACCCTAATATACATCATTGGCGTGCTCCGGTCGTCGAGTTTCTTATGAGAAGGACCTGCAATCTTCACATGCGCCACACGTCCAAAAACTTTCAAGTGTTCTAGGTGGTGTTTCTTACCAAACCAAGTTTCGTAAGGAGTGTGGTCGTACAATGCCTTGGTTGGTAGTCGGTTGAGTATGTACACCGCATGCCTGACCGCTTCACCCCACATTGTTCCAGGCATATGCATGCTTTTAAGTAAGCTTCTCGCCATGTCCATCACCGTGCGGTTACGCCTCTCCACTACATTGTTTTGCTGCGGGGTGTACGATGCAGTGAGATGACGCTTGATGCCGTAGTCTTCACATAACTTGGTGAACTCCTTTGACAGAAACTCGCCACCACGATCTGTCCTCAATGTCTTCACCTTGTGGTCACATGCGTTCTCCACCTCTGTTTTGAACTTCTTGAAGGTTTCAAGAGCTTGACTCTTGGCCTTCAACATGTATACCCACATCCATCGACTGAAATCATCAACAACAAGAAGGAAGTATCTGTTACCAGCAAGTGTAGATGGGGTGATAGGTCCACATAGGTCAGCATGTAATAACTCCAGCGGCTTCTGAGCTCTAAAGTTTGCTTGCGAAGGGAACGACAGTCTTGTTTGCTTGGCGACGAGGCATCCTTCGCATAGTTGATTCGGGTGTAAGATCTTCGGCAACCCGGAAGCCATCCTCTTATCAGTCATCATCTTGAGGGCAAAGAAATTGACATGCCCAAGGTGAGCATGCCATAACCAAGCTGGATCGTTAATGTTCACCATCAAACACGCCGGCCTGCAAGTCTTTAACTCTATCCTGTACAATCGGTTAGTTGAACGTGTCACCCTCATCAAGAGAGCACCGTTCCTATCAAACACCCTCAGGAACTCATCAGCAATAACAACCTTACTCCCATCTTCAGTCATCTGACCAAGACTAATAATGTTAGATTTCAAGCTTGGAATATAATATACCTCAGGTAGTAGCATTTGATCGCCATTGTTGCACTGAAAGAGGATAGAACCTTTCCCCTTGATCTCTACTGCGGATCCATCACCAAACTTGACGGTTCCGATGATGTTCTCGTTGAGCTCCTTGAACTTGCCTCGGTGGCCGGTCATGTGATTGCTAGCTCCGTTGTCAAGGTACCAAACGTCGTTGGCAACTTGTGCCTCCCCCGCTGTGAGTAAGTTTGGCACCACCTTCTCCTCATTGAGTAGGATGACAGTTGATGATTCCTCTAATACAGTCATCATCAAGGTTGGCTCCTCATCATATGAACGGGTGAGATGAGCCTCCTGTTCATGATTGCGGCGTTGCTTGTGACACTCCGACTGAAAGTGCCCGTATACTCCGCAATTGAAGCATTTTATGTTGGATTTGTCTCGACCACCGCTTGTGCTACTCTCCCCCTCCTGGCGAGCTGCTCCGCCATGGCCGAAACCGCCTCCTAGACGTCCTCCTATGCCTCCGAAACCCCCTCGGCCCACCTGACCTCCCTGAGCTCCTCCGCGGCCCGCCTGACCCACATGATCAGCATGGCCTCCCTGGCCGCTGCCTCGGCCCATCTGGCCACCACGCCCTGTCTGGCCGCGGCCACGCCCACGACCTGCTCCGCGTGCTTGACCTCGTCCAGTGCCGTCACTAATCCCCTGTGTGGAGAAAGAGTTTCCGCTGCTCTTCTTGCCCCTTGCTTGCCACTCCGCATGCGTCAACAATAGGTGGTCGTCGACGTTGTTTCGAAAAACACGTGCCCGCTCCTCGTGGGCTTTGAGACGCCCGATCGCCTCCTCGAGTGTCATGCTGTCGATGTCCCCGAACTGTTCAATCGTGGAGACAATAGTAAGGAATCTCTCCGGTACCGCCCGAAGTAGCTTTCTAATGATGTAGTTCTCCTGCATCTCGCCGCCTAAAGCCCGGATCTTGTTGACAACTCCTGTCAATTTCGTCGAAAAATTGTCGACGTTATCATTCTCCTTCATCCGGAGAAGTTCGAACTCAGACTTCAAGGTCTGCACCTTCGCGTTCCTCACACGGTCCGCTCCTAGATGCATTGTTCTCAACGTCTCCCATGCCTCTTTTGTCGTCTGCTTCTCTGCGATCACCATCAAAGTCTCTTCAGGAATCCCCTGATAGATGGCCGCCAGCGCCATCTGATCCTTCCTGTGTTCCACGGACACGCCTGTCGCAGGCTCAACGACGTCCCACACGTCTTGAGCCTTCATGTAGACTTTCATCTTGATTGCCCACGAAGCATAGTTATCTCTCGATAGCGTCGGGTATTGAAGAGTGAGAGAACCCACCTTGGTCGTCACCTTCTCCGAACTCGTCATCTCTTCAGATCTTGGTTGGAACTTAGGCATACACGGCTCTGATACCACTTGTAGGCTTTGAAACAGAATCGGCCCAAGTACAAAACCTGTAAGCTATATGCAAACCTGTAAACAAAGAGAGTTTGACTGATTTTGAGAGAACGAACAGCAAGACAGAGGATGTTCTCAGGGATCCTTTTCTATATATTTGCTTCTCTGTTTTTTTTAATACAAGCAATGAAGGAGCAGGAACTTCTCAATTAATTTTTTATTCACGTTCTAAATCTCATAAAGATTGTTTACATATATATAAAGATTCATAGAGATAAGATTACAACTTGAATCTTCATCCAATAACTAGAAAAACTATCCACTAACTAGTATTCTACTATAA